ACCACCCTCTTAGCCACTGAGCCATCTCTGCAGCCCCCCAAGGTGCAATGTTTAGCTTCTTTATTCTTTCTTCATATATTTTTTAGCCTTTCCCAAATACAATGCTCTCACCATCCCACCAAGAAAGACATTTGAAACTATAGTACAAAGAAGATATAGACAAAAGAAGATCTAGGAATAGTGATTCGGTCTTGATAAGATTTAAGATTTTTTTTTTTTTAAACCCAGTGTCTACACCATTAATCTTAACATTAAGAAAGCAGAGGCAGGTGGATCTCCAAGTTCAAGGTCAGCCTGGTCTATAAAGTCAATTCCAGGACAACAGGGCTACATAAAGAAACCTTGTTTCACCCCCACCCCCAAGTTTAAAAAAAAAATAAATTTCATGCATGTATCTGCTTGTGGGTGAGTGCCTGGGAATGCAGTTCTGAAGGTGGAGTTATAGGGAGTTGTGACCCTGAAATGAGTGCACAGACTTGAACTCAGGTCCTCTGCAAGCACAGTCACACTTTTAGAGCCATCTCTACAGTTCTTTATAGGTGCTTGTTAAAAATTCTTGTCTTAAAATGACATCTTTGTGTTTTGGCCACATTTATTTCAAGACAGGCCACAGAAGGCAGCACAGCTTTGTATCCAGGAGTGAGAGAGCATGGGTCAGTTTATAAGGGATACCTTGAGAAGAAAGATTGAAAAGTAGAAAGGTATTGTCAGAAAGTGAAGTGTCCGAATTAATGACTTTAGAGTCATTTGTGCTATGACCTGTCAGTGTTTGAGATTGAAGTGGACTAACAGACGACTTGAACCGGAGAGGAGCTTCTATAATAAAGTAAATGAAATCACTTCTTCCATATAATCTTCTTTATCACCCTAACACCTCATCGATATCTTCCTTTGAATCCTGGGAAAACCATGTGATCAGGGTCTGTAGGAACTCCTGCCTAGACCCCAGACTTCTTTCCATCCTCTTCCTCTGACAAGAAGTTGTTACCTACAAGGTTCATGGTTGAAAACCACACAATCAAGTTAAACATAAATACAATAAAAATAAAACTCACTAAAATATCTCACAGTGTTTTACGTTTGTGTTCTGCCACATTCATAGTTATCCTGAAGTACACGTGGGCCCCAGGTTTATGTCTAGATGAAACATTTCCTATCAGGCTATAGGAACTTGTTAAAATGGTCTTCAATGAATGGATAACATCACCCTATGCACATGCTGCTTAGCAATGTGTCTTTGCTTCTTTCTCCAATAAGAGATGGAATCTATTTCCTCTTTCCTGGAAATTGCCCATATGACTATTTAGTCCAGTAGAGTGTAATGAAAGTTCCATCTATCTCTGAGCCCCAAGCAAACTTGCAGCATCAGCTTTTGCTGAGAATGAATTCCAGCTTCCATGGTAAATGGTCTGGGTAATCCTTCTGGAGAAATTATATGGAGAAAATGGGTCTGAAAGAGACTGAAATTCTTGCTTCCAACTGTTTTCTCAACTACCATGGTGTCATATTTTGGGTATCAAGTACTAGACACCAACAAAGTTTATATATCTTCAGTTTCTTGTTACTGTACATGACAGTGAACAGTACTGTCCTGGCTCACTGTTCACCAAAGACTCTTATCTTGTTCAACTTGTCTGGAAGTTAAGTAAGATATACTATCTTTCCACCTTGGTGCTAAAACCAGTTTCTTGGCCCCTATAACATAGACAAAACAATGCCTTAATAGGCTGAGATCTATTCAGTTGCTTCAGACTCTTTGATCAATCAGCTACCAGTGGTCAAAACAATGCAGCAACTTGGTCTCTTATAGATCATTGCCAATTGATCTTTGTCTCTATGGGATCCTACAATTCCCACTGAAACCTGGGAGGTCAGTTCAGTGGCTTGCTATCAGTTCATCTACTGAAGGCACTCATCACAGAAGACAATGTCACCCTCTCATTAACACATTTCTCAGTGCCTCAGCGTGGGGAGTTGTGTCTGAAATTCCGTAGAGGCAACACCACTGGGGTTGAAGTGGGTATACAGACCACAGATTACATATCCACTCCAACATTCCAATTCCCCCAAGCCTTTACCTCTTACCCTCTACATTATCCCAAGACAATTCTGGCAGTTAGCCTGACTGTATATAGGTTCCAGTAGGCTCACCACAATCATCAGAGGACATAGTTAGACAACTTATAGCTTCAAGATCCTCCCAAATCAGTACAGTTTGTCTGGTTCACTGTTTTATACCTACCATCTCTGGTCTAATGACCTTAGCTTTCAGTGTTATTTGAGTTTCTGTCACTAAAAATGAACAACATTTTGTTTATACTTTGGAGTATAAACTATTTCCTTTTGTGCCAAACTTTGTATTGGGTCCCCCAGAACAAACCCAAACCTGCATCTAGATATAGTCCTAGAGGTAATGAGATGTGGCTGGAATGTGTCTTGAGATTACTGTAAGATCTTCATGTCAGTCCTTTGAGACATAGGCAGATATGAAGCCCCAAGATCTCAGCTTTTCCTGAGTCCAAATAGATGGTCATCATACCAAGGCTCAAAGTCTTTCTTGTAACTGATCATATTTACATATGAGGCTTACAAGCACACAAATGCTAAGTTGTAATTCTGCAACCCACAAAACTGGGTTTTGAGTCCAAGTCTGCTAGAAATTTTAACAAACTAGTGAAGCATTTGCAGTTACCAGAGAAACTCTGGTTTTGACTTGAGCAGAGTAAGAAACTCAGTCTTGCCATTTTCTTAGGCTCTCTAGTTCATTCCGAAGCACCACTGCTACTTGTTTCTGGTTCTCTGGTGGATTTCAGAAAGTTCTTCATCCCAGTCAACCTCCTGTATTTAAGAATGATGACACAGCCTATCACAGACTTACCATATTCCATTGCCTTAATGAAAAAGATCGCTATTATGTTCAAAACTAATGATAGGATCATATCAACCACTGAATCCCACAGTGAGGGACTGTTTCCTGGAACCACCTCTGGCCCCAAGTATCAGTTAGAGCCCCTTAGTAAAAAGGAATAAATGTCACACATTTTACCTTGAAGAGAATTTAAAAGATTGTAGGTTAAATGGACATTTCAGAGCTGAAATGCAAAACTACAATAGTGCACTAGTACAAGTAGCTTTCAATTACCTTCTTAGAGCTGGGGAGACAAGATCAGGAATTCGGGCTATCAGAAGGTAGACTTAGGAGACATTGCAGAATTGGGACACAGATCACTGAGGAGGCACTGCTGGTATTATTGGGGGTACTTCTGGGAGCTGTTAAAAAGGGTCTGGGACCAACTGCCACTACAAAGAAGGGCAACATTGTTAATTAAAAATAAGTTATCAAAGAGGGAGGATTCTTGCTAAAATGCTCAATTCCTATCCAGAAAGGCAAAGAGGCTGGACATCAGAAGGAGAAAAGAGGGAACAAGTCAGGAGCCTGACACAGAGGACCTCTGAAAAGCTCTGCCCTGCAGACTATCAATGCAGATGCTGAGACTTATGGGCAACCTTTGGGTAGAGTGCAGGGAATCTTAGGAAAGAAGTGGGAAACAGTAAGATCTGGAGAGGACAGGAACTCCACAAGGAGAGCAACAGAACCAAAAAATCTGAGCACAGGGGTTTTTCCTGAGACTGATACTCCAACCAAGGAACATGCATGGAGATAACCTAAGACCCCTGCACAGATGTAGCTCATGGCAGTTCAGTATCCAAGTGGGTTCCATTGTAATAGGAACAGGGACTGTCTCTGACATGAACTGATTGGCCTGCTCTTTAATTACCTCCCCCTGAGGGGGAAGCAGCATTACCAGGCCACAGAAGAAGACAATGCAGCCACTCCTGATGAGACCTAATTGACTAGGATCAGAAAGGAAAAGAAGACCTCCCCTATCAGTGGACTTGGGGGGGAGCATGCATGCAGAGGTGGAGGAAGGGATTGGGATGAGAGAGAACCACAGGGGGATACAAAGGGAATAAAGTGTAATTAATAAAGAAAAAATGTAAAAAAAAAAAAAAAAGAAAATAAAAAAAAAATAAGTTATCCTCCCTCTATGGGAACTAAGACAGGAGGGAGGCTCACAGCTGGCTGTAACTCAGCTCTAGGGTATCCAGTGCCTCTGGCGCTGTGGACACCAGTACTCACGTACAGCTACTCACACCCGTACATACATATAATACAATTAAAAGTAAAGTCTTTGGAAAAAAAGAGACTAAGGCAAGTCGATCTCCTTGAGTTTGAGTTACAAACTGAGTTACTGCAATACCCTGTCCCAAATTTAAAACAGAAAACAGGAAATTACAGTGATTACACTATATCCTCACAAGAAATCTGTTGTTTTCTAATGGTTTGGCAGTAAAGTTCTCCCCACCCCCGAAAAAAAAACTTAAAATGTGTAAAACAAATAGTTAAAAGAATTGTAGTAGCTGAGGGTGATGATGGGCCCTCCTGTCTTAGTTCCCATAAGTGATTGACAAGCCCATGCTTGGGAATGGTTTGCTATCCTTTGGTGTAAATAAGTATGTACTGATGAGAGCAATTTTTGAAGCTACATTAAGGTGTTTTTTAAAGATTATTCTATTCAGTATCTGAGTTTTGCTAGGTTGTGTGTGTGTGTATATTTATGTATGTATATTCTGCTGCCTGGTGCTGATGGCAGTCAGAAGAGAGTATTGGATCCTCTGGAACCACCCAAGACTGTGTGTATGGGGGGGGGGGGGATGGAGAGGAATGGAGGGAGGTGTTCTCAGGAGCGTGTACACTCAGAGGCACATACCCTATTAAGGCTCTAATCCCATGCTTTTAATTTAGTGATTTGCATGTGCTGCCCAGGTGCTTGTTATACCACTGTGGGCAGGGAGGATAACTTATTTTTTTTTTTAATTTTCCACATTTGATATAATCCAAGGAATTTACGAATACCGATTTCTCCTTTCCCACAGGTTCGAACGGGCCGTGACCCCGCCCCAGGCCCGGCCGGGCCGCACACCTCGGGCCCGCCCTCACTTCCTCCCGTCCCCTCGCGTCTGAGCCGCTCACGCTGGTCTCGCCGGGCTCGGCCCTCCCAGGCTCTCCCGCGCCGCTGAAGATGGCCGCTGCGGCGCGGCCCGGGGCGGAGCCGTGGAACCGCGTGAGGATCCCCCAGGCGGGCAGCCGCCGCACACTCACGGTGCAGGAGCCCAGTGCCACCCTAGGTAAGTGAGGAGGGCGAGGAGGCTCGGCATCCCCCCGGGGCCGGCGGGCCGGCGCACGTGCGGAAGGGAGGGACTTCCTGAGCGCGGGGGACGCCGGGAAGGGGCGCCCCGGCCGGAAGGTCCGGCCTGGGCAGCGCGGCGTGGGGTTACCCGGGACTGGGAGGCCTGTGTGCCGCTGAGTTGCCTTGACTGGAACGTCACAGCAGGGTAGCCAGGGCCTAACGCGTGCAGCTTGTAACTCCCACACGCTGCCTGGGACCCTGTGCTGTCCCCCGGGATCGGGGCTGTCACCCCAGTGCCCAGCATCACGGCCTAGGACCTCGGGCTTGTCTTTAAAGTGGAGCTCGTTTTTTCCCTTACGGGAGTCACTCGGGTCTCTGAGTTCTCAAGGAGGAAAAAGAAAAAGAAAAAAATTCAGTCCTCAGACAGTTTTAGCAGTTTCATTAGAAAACAAGGACTCCCAAAGAGTCGTGGAGGTGGCAGCTCAGTGGGGTCTGTGTTTTGAGTTTTGATTTATATTTATATGATGTGGAGGGGCTCATGCATATCCACTGGATTCTGTGATTTGATTTACCCGCTCCCAAATCATGGGCAGGATCTCTTTTAGGACTTTCTTCCCATGATCTTTTAGAAAAGCCTATTGGGTGGGTGGGAAGAAAAGATGGTCCCATGCTTAGGGGCAAGATTAGGGGTTGATTCCCGGGATTCACCGGGTAGAAGTCGGGAACCTACTCCCCCAAGTAATGTGTTCTCTGGACTCCACTGGACTCAGTGCTGTGCCATGTCCCTTCAACCAGTGAAGAAATGTAATAAAATATTAAATGCAAATATTAAGGTGGAGGTCTTTTGAAGTGTGAGGTATTACCTGAGTGTTTTATTTTTTAATGTAGTGAGAACAGCCTACCTGCAGCCTGAAGGATGGTTAACTACAAAGAATCGTTCAGATCAGGAGACACAGCTACCAGGATATGCTGTACTTTTGGTTCTTTTAACTTTTTTGGTTGTTTCTGTTTTGTCTTTTGAGGCTGACTGTCAGCTAAGAAATTTTATTTCTAAAACTGAGGTATTAGCCCACTCAAAAATGGGAATAAAAATAGTACCAACTTCTTAGCTGTATTGGGGGGAAAAAAAGAGGTGATACCACGAAGCATTTGTAACTGCCTGGTAAAACTGCCAACTGATAGTAGTTATATTAAATAAACACATTTGTTAATGTTAAATATAACCTCTTAAGTCATCTTTCCATTTATTTTTCCTATGCAGTTTAAAGGTCCTTATGGTTCCTTTTTAGTCACAATGTTAAAAACAGAATAATATGGGAAATCCACCAACTCTTCATCACCCAGGTAGCTGATATAAATTCTCCAGATAGTTGGTAGGGATGGAGAACATTTTCACCTCGAATGCTTGTGTTTCCTTTTTGAACCACAAGGTGGCACACCACACCTCTTTCCAGCTACTGGTGTTCAGATTAGGAAACATTGTTACCCCCTTTTAGTTGCATAATACAGCTTCCGGTGGCCCTGGTGGTGTCTCTTTTCTAAATGTAGTTTCTCATTGATATCCATGAGGGATTGGTTCCAGGAATCCTTCCGTATAAAAAATGTGCACATGCTCAAGTATCTATAACATGGTATGGTAGATAGTATTTGCAGTATGACCTATACACATCTTTATTATACATGGTATCCTATACAGTGTGACTGCTATTGATGGAATTTTAGGGGACTATATTCAGTGGAGGTTGGTTGAATGCACAGATGGCACTCAGAGGGCTGAATGTATCATATATTCTTACAAAAAGTGGTTCCAAATATAGTTCCTTTGCCTTTGAAGGCTGTAACTTTATGCATTCTGTGTTGCTACCTTCAGAGCAAAGTGAGGGTTTTAAAGATAGATTCAACCTGTGCCCAGCTTTTATATATTTGGGGTGCAAGTATACACCAAGTGATGACCGTACTCCTATGACAGTCATGGGAAAAAATGATGTAAAGACATACACGTATTCCCGTTTAACATGTTCTCCTATTGATCACGTGCCGCCATGTCCCAATTTCTTTCTTAGAATCTTTCATTATGTTATTATAGTTGAGGCTGATTTGTGTTTTTTTTTTTTAAATAAATAAGGCAGACCATTTCGTTCAGTGTATTTCTCAAATGATGCAGTAAACGTAGAGATGCACACTGAGTCTTGTTTCAACTATCTCTGCTTTAGATGTTTGCATTGCAGCTGTCATTAAAGGATGCCATCTCGTCACACAGTCACTCAAGAGCCAGACCTTAGATGTGGAAGTCGATGTGTTATGCTCAGTTCTCTACAGCAATCACAACAGACTGGGCCGCCACAAGCCACATTTGGCCCTCAGACAGGTGAGGGGAAGGTCTTTGCTCTACATGGAGCCCGGAACTAATGAACACGAGGACCACACTACCACTTACTATTTTGTTATTTAGGGAAAATTCATACATTATTTTGATTCTTAACTCTAGAAGATACAATTACATCTTAGCTTTTTCAGTCTTTTATTTTTCCAAAATCATTTCAAAACATAATTTATAATCAAGAAGTATATTTCAAAGCTGGGTGTGGTGGTGCACGCCTTTAATCCCAGCACTTAGAGACAGAAGCAGGGGATCTCTGTGAGTCTAAGGCTAGCCTGGTCTAGGTAGTGAGATCGAGCACAGCCAGGGGTATGTAGAGAGACCCTGTCTCAAAAAATAAGACAGATGAACAAACAAAAAAGTGTATTTTGATTCTTTCCTGTTTAATTTTCACCATGTTTTGGCTCTTTTAACAATGCCTTTGTCTAGTTCAAGAGTAAACTAATTTAAACCCTAAAGTCTTAAAAAAGAAAACAGTTGTGGTTTGGTATTGTGGTTTACTTCTTTGGAGTCATAATCTAATCAGCAGTGTGTTGGTGTGAGTGGGCTTACAGTAAGTTGTGGTATAGAGTGATTTCATGTAATTTTTAGAGATTAAGGAAATCTTGTGAAAGGAAATCAGCTCCAGTACTAAGACTGCAACATGGCAGAGAGCTTCTGCAGCTATGTTCTGTATGTACCATTCTTGTATTCACTTTGCTAATTCTGCGAGTACCCTTTCAAAGCTCAGTGTTCTACTCACATTGTGACAGAGCCATCTTTCCAATATTTAGTTTTCATAAAGTTCTCTGTTGACACTGTGTTGAATATACAACAGTGAAAAGGACTGTTTCTCACTTCAGAATCATGCTTTCTGTTTAGCTATACTCCATTGCTTAAGGTCCAAGGGATGAAGATCCCCTCATCAAAGAGCATTATGGTCTTTCCCTAAATTTTCTTCTCTAGGGCACTTTTTACCGAGGTCTTCTAATCCAAGAACAAGCTTGTTTACTGACTTCCTTGCTGATGTTCTTAACTGTTTTCTTTCCCTTTCTCTCTTCCCCTCCCCTAAACCATAGTTTACTCACTATTTTCCAAGTATATAACTGTCTTGAACTGTCAATATCTTAAAAGATGGTGTCCGGACTTAGAAATTAAAAAAAAAAGATAATATGGCCTTCCCCCTCTCCCACAATGAGAAACTACTAACTCATGTTGTAAGAACTGGATTACACAGGTGAACAAAATGGACAAGTTATTTTGTTCATGGAAAGTTTATAGTATAGCTTAGAGGAAAGGATAGTCAGCCAGCCAGTCAGTCAATAATTGGTATGCCAGCTGCTAAGAAGTGCTATAGGGAAAAACAGAGAAGGGGAGACTACAGTTATTTTTGGTTTTGTTTTTTTGAGACAGAATTTTTCTGTGTAGCCCTGGCTGTCCTGAAACTTGCGCTGTAGATCATGCTGGACCTCAGAGATCTGCCTGCCTCAGCCTCCCGATTGCTCGGATTAAAGGCTCACCCCTGGCTGGGATTGCAATTTTAAATGAAACATATCTATTTTAGCATTTAGTTAAGTACTTTATGTTATTTATTATAGAAAATTAATTAAATCTCGAGTGCTTTCCTAACCCAGCTAGCTCCCAAACGATTGAGACAGAGACCTGTTGATTTACTTACCACGCTTAAGCACTGTAACTGAGCAGGAACGATTCATACTAATTTTCTAAACTACTCTGTTACTCCCCAGCCACATGCCCCAAGTTACTTGCCAATATTTGTTTTGTCTGGGCTGGATCAGCAGATCCGTCAGACCACCTCCTCTCTTTCCATCTTCTTTCTTCTCCTCTTTGGCCTTCATAGTCCCTGTCTGAGACCCCATGCCCAGGAACTGCTGCCCTGCCAACCTCTCTTCTGCCCAGCCTTTTTTTTTTTTTTTTTTAAATTAACCAATCCAGGATAATTGGGGAGCAAAGTTTACACAACACTGTTCAGTGTATGTGAGAATGCACTTGTGAAGACTGCAGCTAGATTTGAGGCTCAGAATTTAGCATTTTAGCCCCAGACCAATCCTCAACATCTATATTACTAGAAATTGGGATGTATCATATACCATGTTATCTGCTAGCATACCTTTTCTATCGTAGGTGTTCAGTGTAGTTCTGTGACTAAGTCACTTTCTTCATTTCTGCTTACAGACTGCTGAAACAGTTAGGAATTTGCTTTTCTGTTTTACTAGGCTCACAGCTGTAGATATGTTCCCTCGACAAATTATAATATTGAGACTTAATGTTTATTTTGGTCACTTTATAGCATTGAGTACACTTGGCAACTGGTAATTTTCTTGAATTGAGAAATTTATTGGGTTGGTTAAATTCCATCGTCATAAGCAGAAGCAGTTGTTCTGGGATTTGGGTTTCCTTGCCCTTAAATGAGAAGGTCTTGGCCGATCTCCATACGGTGAAAGTTTGCTTTCTTTGCATTCTTGGTCGTATCCTGGTGTTGTATTATTCACATCCTAATTTAAGCTGCTTCTCCTCCAGGTAGAACAGTGCTTAAAGCGTTTGAAAAACATGCATTTGGAGGACTCCGTTGAAGACCTGTCAGAGTTGTTGTCTGCCAGGTAGGTGGCCCATCGCTTTGTCAGGAGCACCCTTTGTATTCTCTGCTTGGTGCTGTGGTATAATCAACTATGCCAAGATGTGCACATTGTTTTAATAAGGGAAGCCTGTTGACTGCGGGGAGAGGGTGGGGCTGGTGGGGCACTGAAACAGGCTCACAGCAGGTTACAGTGAAAGAACGGTGGGGTGCTACCGGGCGTAACCACGTCAGGCTGAGTCTTCTCTTGAGTACCGCTGTAGAAATGCTGTGTTTAAAAATGAAAGTATGTCCTTTTCTGTTTTTGTCAAGTGAAACTCAGCCTGGAGCTACCAAAAACCGTGTCGTCCCCAGCCAGCCGGTGGTGGAGGTAGCGCTGATGAAAGTCTTGGGGGGCTGCAAGTTGTTGCTGCGCTTGCTGGACTGCTGCTGCAAGGCATTCCTGTATCCTTGACTGTGGGAACGCCTTCTTCTGAATGGGGGCTGTGGGTACCTGGAGCTTCTGCTGGAGAGCTGTGCTCTAAGGCAGTGTAACCTGTGGGAATTCTTTTTTTATTTTAAAGGTTTATTTATTTTTATTGTGCCTCAGTGTTTTGCTTATATGTGTATCTGTATGAGGGTGTCAGATCCCCTAAAACTAGAGTTATAGACAATTGTAAGCTGCCATGTGGGTACTGGGAATTGAACCTGGGTCCTTGGGAAGACCAGTCAGGCTTCTTAACCACTGAGCCATCTCTCAAGCCCAAAGGTTTATTTGTATGTTTTTATGTGTATGAGTATGTTGTCTTCATGTACACCAGAAGAGGACATCTGATTGTATCACAGATGGTTGTTAGCCACCATGTGGTTGCTGGGAACTGAACTTAGGACCTCTGGAAAAGCAGCCATTGCTCTTACCTGCTGAGCCATCTCTCTAGCCCCTGTGAGAATTCTTAATGCTTTGCCTTTTGGCTCCTCTTCCAGCAATGGCTGTTGTGGCCGGTGCCAGAGACTCTATGTCTCTATCTAGCATGTATTCTAAGAGCTTGACCATTACCATTTCTTCCTTTCAGACACTGACTGTAATGATAGGAGCTCCAGTAGAATGGGTATTTCTGCTTTTAGTGTAATGTGACTTTATTGCCATGTTAGTGCTTTAATACTTTCAAGGTTTTTACTTCCAGTTTATTTCTTCCATAATTGTTACTTACAAATCCCAAATTCCTTTGATTTTGAATTTTCACCTTAAACTGATTGTTCAGATTGACTGTGAAGCACTTGGGGTTGCAGGAATTCATTATTTTGAACCTAGTGATGGTTGGGCTGGTAAGCAGGTTATGGTATGTTCACATTTCTATATTTGTGTTTCCTTTTTACATGACCCAGGTTTGTTATTAGTATTCACACAGTTTCGTTTCCCACTGTTGGCCCTGGGATCTGAAGGCTGGGCTTCCCTTTCTTCCCGAACAGTTGATTTGCAGACTGTAAGCTGAGTGCTAGTGGTTATGTCAGTGGTGTGGGCTTTGCCTCTGAAACCACACAATCAGATTGACATTGAGGAGCTCAGAGTGTGAATTCCTAGGACCTTTGAACTATAATAATAGTAATAATAATAATAATGGTTATTGTTATTATTAGTAATACTGCAGTAGTAATATTGTAGTAGGCTTTTGAAAAAGCTGTTTCTGGGCTGGCCATGTTTTTTTTTTTTTTTTTTTTTTTTTGTGACAACTGGTTTCTAATTTTTTTTTTTATTTTTTTTGGTTTCTAATTTTAATAATAATTAGAAATACAAGTTGGCTTTCCTTGTGTGCTCTAGATTTTTCTGCCTGACTTGCTGTTCCTTTTGAGACGTATTTGGTTAATATAAATAACATTAGTAATACCTTCAAACTAAAGAAAGGCATTTTCTTGTGTGTGTGCATAAAATGGTTTGATGGATATCTAGAAACAGATTAGATCATTAGCTCTGATTTGAATGTAGCAAAACTATCAAAACAACAAAAACAAACCCAGAAGATTGTACCTTCAAACATAAACTTTGCTTTGATGTCCTCACCCAGATATCTCATTTGTATTTTCATTTTTTTTAAACTTTTTGTTATTAATTACAGTTTATTCATTTTGTATCCCCCCAAAAGCCCCCCCTCCCCTCCCAGTCCTACCTTCCCTCCCCCTTCTTCGCACATGCCCCTCCCCAAGTCCACTGATAGGGGAGATCCTCCTCTCCTTCCTTCTGATCTTAGTCTATCAGATCTCATCAAAAGTGGCTGCATTGTCATCTTCTGTGGCCTGGTAAGGCTGCTCTCCCCTCAGGGGGAGGTGATCAAAGAACAGGCCAATCAGATTATGTCAGAGGCAGTCCCTCTTCCCATTACTATGTAACCCACTTGGACACTGAACTGCCATGGACTACATCTGTGTCATTTGTATTTTCAATCATTTTTTTTCTTTTTTTTTAATTATTATTTTTTTTACATCCCAACTGCAGTTTCCCCTTTTCCTTTCCTCTCCTCTCCTCCCAACCACTCCCGCTTCAGGAAAGGGCAGGCCTTCTAAGTATGTCAGCCAGCCACAGCATATCAAGTTGCAGTAAGACTAGGCACCTCTTCTGTTAAGGCTGGAGGAGGCAACCCAGAAACAGGCAGGAGAGTCAGAGACAGCCCCTGCTCCCACTGTTAGGAGTCCCACGAGAAGGCCAAGCTATACAACTATAATATATGTGCAGAGGGCCTAGGTCAGCCCTATGCATGCTCTTTGGTTGGCGGTTCAGTCGCTTGAGCTCCTATGAGCCTAGGTTAGTTTATTCTGTAAATATTCTTATGGTGTCCTTGACCCCTCTGGCTCCACAGTCCTTTCTCTCCCTCTTAAGGATTCCCCCAAGCTCTGCCTAATGCTTGGATGTGGGTCTTCACATCTGTTTCCAGCAGTTTATTCTACTTATTTTTAATCAGAAGTAATAGCATTTGAATTACTAGTATTACTTTATTAAAAGAAAATTTAAGACAGGATTTCACTGTAGCCCAGGTTAGCTCTGAATTCATGATTCTCTTACCTTAGCCTCCCAAGTGCTAGAATTGTAGGTGTATATTAAATATTATTTGAAAATTTTTTTAAACTTTTGCTAGTTTCTAAAATGAAAAGGGCTTTATATTTTATGGATTAAAACAATGGTTAATGCTTAGAATCCAGAAAATAGAAAAATGTAAAGAACTTAAAATGTACCTAAAATCTCATCTAGATAAAATACCCATAGGCTTTTTATGTACACATCTCTTCAGGAAGTTTTGGTTCTGAGTAGCGTTTCATGCTTGGGTTTTTGTGTTTTGGGTGGATTAATCTGACATCTTGCAAATACATACCTAAGGCATTTTGTTCTGTTTTGTTTAACTTAAATGGCAGAGCCTGATAGCTGTTTATTTTCAGTTTTGAATCTTTATTATATAAATCTGCAGACTGTATTACTAGCTAATTCATGAGCTTCTGTTTCTTTCTAGGGTTCTTCATAAAGGACTTTTAAGGAGGCTGATTTCCTTATATGAACCATTGTTTGGATTGTTTCAGGAGGTCTCCAGGATTCAGCCCATGCCTTACTTCAAAGATTTTGCCTTTCCCTCTGACATCACTGACTTTCTAGGTCCCCCTTACCTTGAAGTCTTTAATAGAAAAACGCCTGCAGCTTTTGCCACTAAAGGAGTAACTAAGTTGCTAAACAAACTATTTTTAATGAAAGAACAACTACCAAAGATCAATGAAGACACTGTAGATAGAATTTCCAAAACATCTCAACAAATGAAAAGCAACCTACAGAGTAGTGTGGACCTGGGACAGCCAGTGAAAATGAGTAAAAAGACCAAAAAAGGTGAGTTCTTGGATAAGCACATCATTTCCTCCTTTCTTTTACATTTATTATTTTTTCTTTCTTTAATACTTTATTATAAGCCTTTGAAAGCATGATACAGTCATGCATTGTGTAGAAAGAAATTCAGAATCTCACTTGTTAAGCCACACTGATTATATTTAGGGAGGTATGAATATTACCCATTTTCAAAGCCTTCCTTCTAGTTCCTTTCTGGTCCTTTGCTTGATTCTCTTTTGTAGTGACTTGGCAGGAAATGTCATCTAGTTAGTATTTGCTGGAGGTTTGAAAGTAATGTGGCTGAGTTTTTCTTTTCTTTTAATTCCACAGAACAGCCTTCGGGATTTGACGTGCGGGCTCTCTGCACGAGGCTTCGAAATAAAGCTGCTCAGGTCTGTCTGGTTTAACACTTCTGCCAAGTTTAGAGGAAGCTCCTCAGTGAGGAGGGAGGTGGACTTTGCTCCGATAAGCTTGGTTGCACTCCTAATTCTCAGTGTGTGCTGTTGAATGAATGACACAGGTTTTTTTTTGTTTTGTTTTGTTTTTTTGAGGCAGGGTTTTTAATGGTCCGAGTTACTCCACTTAATGGAAGGTGTTCAGAAGCTTGTTAGTAGGCATTTCTGTGGGTTTTTTTTTTTTTTAAAGTAACTACATGTTCTACCTTAAGTATGGATGATGAGCAGTGAAGAGCACGGACTTAGAGTGGTCCCACTTCATAGTGGCCCCACTTTGTATTAGCTGTGTGTTCCCTGACCTCATTATACCTCCCTTTTCCACTCCATGCACCTCATAAGTGTGGGCTAGTTTCAGTATATGTAAAGTGTTAGGTAGAGTCTTGAGTATGGTGAACATATAGTTAATGGCAGATTTTGTTAGTAACAGTCATTATTTTTCTCTTCCTCCTCATTTGTCATGAGTCGCCAGTCATTCTTTTGGGGGTTCAAGCTTTAACATGATACCTTTTATTAGTGTCAGAAAATGTTATGGACTTGATGACTGATAAGTATATTAGTGTCTCCCGCCACCCTGTAACTGCTTGACTTTTCTTACCCTTTGTCTGGTTTCCTTTATGGGTTATTCTATTTTATTTAAGGACTCTTAGTCATTTCTAAGAAAGAACCCATAGTTCTTTATTGAACTTTTTAATGCAGATGGCCTCTTGCATTTTTATCTTGCCTATTTCATGAGTTCAGAAGGAGGAAGAATAATAGCAGATCCTTTAAGCACCTGTACTATCTTAAATGCTTTGTGTATTAACTTCCATAATCCTCAAAAAAGGCCCATGAGAGAGATGCTTGTGTTACTGCTTTCAAAGTTCAAAGGTGTAAACTGAGGCATAGAAAGTCTCAAAAGTTATCCAAGACACGTAGTGAATTGATAGGTGTCAGGTTTGAGTGCAGGCTACATGACTGCTTGTTATAGCAGTCCCAGAGAAAAATCTTTCAGTTCTGGTGTCAAGAACCGTGGTGTGTATGGGCCTTACCACCTCTGCAGAGCCAGTTTGTAGGGAGCTGGGCTGGTTCTGGTTGGTTAGCATCCTCCTTAATCAAGAGTAATTGCTCTCATATTATTAGTAATTGGCATTCAAATGCTCAGCTTGTTTTTAGAGCAAATTATTGATCATAAAAAAATACTAGTCTTCAAGTTCATAATAACTTCTTTAGGTTCCTGTTGAGTGTGAGAATATTTATTTACTTATTTATTTGACAGGGTCTTACTATGCATCCCTGGCTGGCCTGGAACTCATCATGTACACCAACAGGCTGACCTCATAGAGACCCATCTGCCTCTGTTTCCTGAGCGCTGGGATTAAAGGTGTGCACCACCACAAATTTGGAAATAAAGTAGGCTTTCGATGGAGGATAGGTAGACTTGGCAGGTGGTGTAATTTTCATAATGTAGAAAAAGCTAGTAAAATCCAAAGTAACTTATTGTAGAAAGGACTGGAGCAAAGATGCTTTCTTGAAAGTGGTGCAAGGTCAGAGTGTGCACACTTAGTCACTTTATCCTAGCCACTGACTGACTGACCTGTCTAACATGCTGGGTGCTTTCCAGGGTTGCCTGACTTCATGTTTTCAGTAGCATTTATGACCTATCTTGAGGATTGTTCCTGGGGCATAGAAATAAGTGAAAAATAAATGTAGTCAAGTCAGGCCTGTTATCCTCACTACTCAGGAGGCTGAGGCAGGAGCCTCAAATGGCAAATTCAAATCCTCTCTGAACTAGAGTGAGTTTAAATCAGCCTGGGTAAGTTGTTGAAGCCTTGTCCCAGAATTAAAACAAAACAAAACAAAAACCAAAGGGCTGGGGATATAGGCCACTTGCAAAGTATGTACAAGGGTCCTAAGTTCAGTCTACAGTAAAGAAAATAAAGTCAATAAAAATAACCTCCCTAATAAACAAGAAATCAAGGTAGCTCAGTGATGTCATTATAAAAGACTTGTGATTTTTTCCCCCTCATCATTAGACTTGACTACTATTTAATGTTTTATTGTACACGTTACATATATGTCAGAGTATTTATCTCGGGTTTCCTGTGCACATGAAATATAAAGGGGGATATGTGAAGTATTTAACTTTGTAGAGGGGTAAAAAGTAGTGTTAGTAGAATAGATGAAAAGGATTAAGTTTCCTTTCAAATGAACTTATTTAAAAAGTTTTTAAAAATGAATCAGCTTTCAAAACTCTTGTCCTTTATTTACAAGTCACTACTGTTTTCAATTTATTTTTCCTCACCTTTTTACATTTCAGGAGACCAACTATGACTTTAAATATTCTCAGTCCACAACAAAGGCAACCAAACATCCCTGTCAGAAACTGAGAAGAACTCACTGGGCTAACAGTATTGTGCAAAGAATCCAAGTGACCAAGACTTTCACCCAACTTTCTGAAGAAATCCAAATGGCAATTGTGTGGTCACGGAAAAAAAAGCTCAAGGCTCAGGCCACCTATCTGGGCAACAAACTTCTTAAGAGTAACAGACTTAGACATGTGGAAGCTCAAGGGCACAGGTAATTATATTAAAAACTCCTTCCCCTTTTCATTAAAGTGTACACCTGCACATTATCTCCCTAGTTTAAAATGGGATATCTAGCAGCCCTTGGGGTGCTAAAATAAGACCTACTCTACAGTTTCATGTGTTGCTAATGTTAAGTCTGGACAGTTGTGTCGGGAAGAAGAAAGTGAACTAACAGTTATCTGGATTTACTAATTTATGCTGCATTATTCTCACCGGCTCATTTCAGAAAGCATTAAGAGAGTGCCTATTGTATTGAAAGCCCAGGCCAACAGCAATGGGTTGTTCCTTCTGTAGATGCTTATAGCAGCCAGATTGTCACACTGATGTATTCAGGTTATTGTGGTTTTTACATTCAGATGGAACAGTTCAGAATAGTGAGGGAACAAATTATAATGATGGTTAGCAAGAGGGGTGACAAGCAGGTTTATTGGTTAAAATGGTCTCTACTTCCCAAAGTTATAGTGACCATAATGTCCTATTGCTGTTTCATTAATACATTTTTTCTGTAGTACATTTTGTAAAACATTTAATGTCCATAGTAATCTGGAAGGTAGACAATGTTATTCCTGTTTTATACATGGAGAGATAGTTTTGCTCAAGATATTGGAACTGGAGATCTAGAACTCAGTTCAGGTCGTCTGATTCTTGATTTTGTTTCTACTGAGATGCACCCACTTTTACCCAATGAAAAGTCACTGCTTCTGGTCATGGCTAGGAAACAGGGATAATGAATTGCTTATTATGTAGGGTATTCTAAAATGACTATATATTTTTTTAAAGTAAGAACAAAGGGATTTGGGTAAGGCACAAAGACCTTTGTTAATCTTTACCAACAGTGATAAACTGTGAGGTAGCGAGGCAAATGCCTAGTCTCATCAGCTGAGTCCTGATTGTAAGCTTGAAGGGTATGCACTCAGGTCACCTCACAGCTGTCAGTTTGTCTCCGCCAGAAGGCCCCTCTGCACTTTATCCTTTTTTCTGTTCACTTCCTGCTACAACATGAATGTAGCCAGCAGATTATGACACACGCAGAGCTTTTCATTTGTGATATTTTGCCATTTCCACTCGTTTACCCCAGGAACAGATTATCAGGATGAGGGAAAGGCCATGGCTCCCCATTGTGAGCAAGCTCACACCATTTGTGACCTCACTAGGCAGTTTTGAGAGTTGAGGGCAAAATGGAGGCAAATCTGCCTGCATCCTGAATCAGAGAGGGAATTAGGCTCTTGGGTTGAAACTCCCATTTCCTTATTTTGTGTTTGAGGTTATACATATATACAAGGCTAGGACTTGTAATAAATTGTGTACTTTTCCATTGGAAATTGGTGGAGACAGTGCTTGAGAACTTTTTAGCATCATAACTGAGATTTTTTTTCTTTTGTCCTTTAGTTTGCCAAAGAAGTTACAGTGCATGAAAACATCTCTTTGCAACTGCCTTCTTCGAGGCACTTCAAAGCATCCTCCCAGACAAAGAAGATCAAAGCATAAAGTTTTATCGAGACAAAGAAAACCGCAGAGAAAGTTGCAGTCAACTTTTTTAAAGGAAGCCCAGCAGGTCCCTGAAGGGACTCTGAAGAGCACTGGGGGCACCAGTGCTAAGTGCAGACACTCAGGTGGGACAGTTCAGAGGTCAGATATCTGTCCTAACAGAAAGCAGGTCTTGAGAAGACTTTCAAAGCCTGGCCTAAAAAAAAAGGAGCTGGGGATCCATAGGAATCCTACAGGGGGCAGTGGAAATGAAACTGGCTTGTGGATGAAGAGACAGATAGATAATGCACCAGAAAGTGCTAAGGAGGCAGATGACATTGATGATATTTTCGCTTTGATGGGAGTGTAGATGTACCTATGTGAAAGTTCTGAGCAGTTAACAAAAGCTGGCTCAGTGTTCTGTTTTAGGCGGGACTGCTAAGAGCTGGAAACACTGCTTGGGCTGGGAGCTGCTTCTGTGCAGGAGTCTGCAGGAGCGCACACCAGCTCAATAAACATTCACAGCACCTTTGTGTAAGTTAATCAGATAGTGTGTATTGGCTTTGACCGTGTGGTGTATTAAAATATGAACAGTCTATCAGAGTCTACCCTGAGGAACACATCCTTCTCAACTGAAACAAGCAAGTTTTTGAAAATGAGATGATTTTATTCTCTCTAGGGAGTTAAAATCTGAATGAGTTAGCAAAATCTTATATATCTGAAGTTAAACAGCAAGATTGGAGAGAAGCAAAGACGTACCATAAAGGGTCACTTGGTCTCACTGGCCCCATTCCCTTTCTAAAGTTTTTACATTTTGTGTGTGTGTGGATGTCAGGATAACTTGTGAGAATTGGTTCTCTCCTTCACCCGTGGGTCACAGGGGTGGAATTCAGGTTGTCAGGCTTAGCAGCATGTGTGTTTACTCACTGAGCCATCCAACCTGCCCAGGTCCTCCTTTGGGGTAATGGGGTAACAGTGTGAGTGGATGCTATGTTATTAAAATGAATTACCAAGAGATCTGCCATTACTCAAATGGTTAAAACTATTATTTAATCTTCATTTTGACACTGTACCGCCTAAGGGAGTATATGAAAAGGCTTTGGTGGTTTCCTTTTTCTTGTTCCTATGAAATGCAGCAAAGAAATAGGTAAGTGTATGACAGGAATAAGGACAGTCATATATTTATAACCTGGTATCAAGGCCTTCACCTGACTATGTGTACATATCTGTACAGTTGCCTCTGGAAATGAAAAGTCATGAATTACAAAATGAGCTGTCCTGCCCATGAGAAAATGTAATCAGGGAAAATCTGTTCAACACTCAATTTCTCCAGGCCAGCAAGAGGCAGGAGGGGTGAACTGAGGAGAAAACACAGGGAGCCTGCCCCTTGCCCTCTGTAGTGACCAGCTGTCTAGTGACAGCACACATCCTAAAGCCTGCAAGCCTAGGCACAGTTGGACAAGACTGTCTCCAAGGCCTGAGGGTGGGAGTGGTGGGGTGTGAATCTGGACTTTGCACACTCACTTCAATGAGAACACAGCTACTTAATGTTCTGAAACTTTCTGACCACAAGTACGAGTCTCAAAAAAACTTACAAGTTTGAACATGTCTTACTTGGGAGTCTTGGACTTGAGACATTCCACTATTGAAGTCTGCAAACAGCCACAACTTGCTACAAAACCTGTAATCTGAAATACTTCCAGCTCCTAGCATCTCAGTAAGGGCTGAAAGGAACATCAGGTGTTAAAGTTCAGTTGTTTTAAGTGCCCTGTGCGAGAATTTGTGTACTTTCAGATCCTCTTGACACTGCTGTATCAAACCCTGTTGAGTAGGGCTGGATCTCGCCTTCTGCTATGGGAACCTGTCCCAGCTTCTAGGCTTTTTTGTGTGATCTGCGTGTGTAGTGTATGTGTGTGTATCAGTGTATGAACCCCTGGGCACTTGACAACTGGGAATGGAATTTAGTGCCTCAGATATGCTAGGCCATCATTTTACTGTTGAACTCCATTCCCTTGCATTAGAGGTCCATGTCTTGAGGCTGCTCAGAAAGTCCCTCAGGACCAAGCTCCAGTGTATGAAAGCATGCTGGGCAAGTTTTCTTCCATTTCAACACTCCTATTTCTTGGCCACCTCACAAGTGTACTGCCTTGGGAAGCTTTGACAGACAGCTCTGCTTTTGGCAGAAGGATGCCTTCCAGTATAATTCATTTGACACCTATGCTTTGCCTTGTGAAAAATTTTTTTACAGTGTAAAAGCCACAAAGTTGTGCAGTTATAACCTCTAACAGCAGTCTCATTTTGAAATGCTAAGATACTTGATGAAGGGTTGATGCCTTTATAAAATGTGCTCCTGTGAGCAGCAGGTCAAAGCTAGTCTTTCCGTTCTGAATCTACCACAATGATTCTAAACGGTTGTGACTTGTGAATTAGTTTCCTCACTTACCTCTAGTTCCTGTTTATTCTTGCTACTTCTTTTAAGGTGGGATAAAAGCTTGTGAGTTTTACTGTGTTGGTTTGGATTTGTAAACACGCAGCTGTCGTCAGTATAACTTGTTAGTCTTTATAGACAAGGCGCCGATAGCCACCATGGAGGTGAGAAAAAAAAAATCAAATGATTTTTCCCAAGGACCAAGTGACAGCAGACGCTAGGAGTGGAACCTGAATCTTGGGTTTTGATTATTATCATTCTGTACTCACCCAAAGGGCAGCGGTTCTGTTCTCACATGACTGCTGTTTCCATGGCCTGGCAAATTAACAGTTTTTTCATATTTGAATAAAGACTAGAAGAGTTATGGGCATACATGTAGTCATTTACTTTTCTACTTATGCATGCTTTACAGAAATGCACCCCCCCTTTACCTAGTTCACTTTTACATTTACAACATTAAAGACAATAGACATTTCTAAGAGAAAAACCCAATTTATCAAACCTGTTTACATGGTAGGAGGGTCTTACTTCACAGATTTCTGTTGTTGGACTTGTCAGTTTGTTAAAAGAGGAAAGCCAGTTAGCATGTCCTAATGATCAATATGATTTAATTATTTATAACCCTCACACCCAACAAATTCATTCTTCACGATAATCCAGGTTTTAAGCTGAACTTCCTTCATTGAAATTCACAATATTTAAAACAATATTGGAATTCTTCTAGGTGTTTAACTCCAATTGACATGAAGAACTTTGAAACTTTATCTTTTCTGGGAGCATTTACTTAAGACTTCCTGTTATATCTGCTATAAAGCATTTCAACAGATGTATTCCAGAGTAGGTCACTGCACTGTGAAAAGAAAAAAAAAAAAAAAAAGACAAAAAAAAACTTAATTTTCTCCCTTACCTCAGAAGTTGCAACACAATCTCAATTCGTGCAACCCGTTTTTTTTTTAAACAAACTCTTACTGTCTCTCATGATGGGGAGGGCAGTGTCTTTTAGTCTGTGCTATCTTCCTTCTCCTTTGTCAGTTTCATGCAATATTCTATATCTGATGATCTACAACATCCAATCAATTTCAGGATTCTAAATGTTTTACCACATCTTCCATTTCACTTTGTTCTCCAGAGTAGGTGTTGATATTAGTTTGATCTTTTTGTGATAAAAATTCAACGACTTTGAAATATTTTTAGGTTAGAAAATGTCACATACTGAGACTTATGTGTGCCACTTCACTCAGGCAAGAAAACCCTGGTTTATTAGGCTGAAGTCTTCATGCAGTGCTGCTAGTTGTGTTAGCGAGTATAGCATTTTAAATTTTCTGGCCAAATCTACCCTGCTGAAAACAGGCTTGTTTACAACTTCTACGACTGAAGTAAGCTGATCTAACTTAAAGGAGAGCTACAAGCCGGATGTCAGATACTAACTGGCACTCTGCACGCATGTGCAGTGTTTCTGTTAACTCGGCGCTGCCTCAGAGTCAGTTCTAATCCGTTTGGCAATTTACTACACAAAAAATGCAGAAGCAACTACTATGCCTACTTAGATCTTTTCTCCATGTCATTTATAAGGTATTGTAGTATTAATCTGTATGGGGGCTTCACAGTTATACTTCTCTGTTGTGTTGGGCCAGAGTTCACGCATGAAAATTATCACTTAGTTTTTGTTTTTAGGTTTAAAGCCAAACCTTTCCAGATTAAATGTCTCTATGAGCATATTCCTATAAATGATTGGTGTGTTAAAGTGAATGTTAAAATTCTTTCAGGGCAGCAGGCCTCCATGTATCAGTTCATAGATTCTGAATGTTGGGTGACCTGCAGGGCCTTGGTCACATGTGGTAAATATGTTTGGCAGCAGTAATTCCAGGGTCACATCTAAAAAAGCAAATGCCCTTAAAAAACACCAGGAATCCAATAATGTGGATCTTAAGTTTAATCCTGCCACTTACAACTGGCAAGAAAAGAAATCATGTATTTAAAGTGTATATATCAGTCACAATACATGACCCGTCTAGTGACATTGACCAGTGAGAAAATGAAACAAGTTGCTTTAAAATTGGTAGCCTCTAGCAGAAACCTATAGATATCATACAAAACCATGGCTGCCTGATCCTAAGGCCCACGCTCTTCCCACTTCAGCAGATACCTCTCTGTAACTAACCTCTCTGTAAGTGATGATTTTTCGCTTGTAACTGTCTATGAGAAACAGGCATGTTTACTGTGAAGATCAATGATTGTATGTGCAGCAATCCCTCCCCCACTATCAGTTTTCACAGAGCTCTAGTTAATGTCAAGCTACATTCTGACAGGACTGCTCTTCGGCATACAGTTTACGAATACAGGAGTGTGGGGCTTCTGCCTCATCGGCCCCATTTTTGGAACTCCGTAATCCCACTGTTGTAGCTTCCCAAAAATTTTAACTTTCCTAGTCACAGTATGTTGTTAATTCAAACAAAGTTTAGAGAAGCAAAATTTACATATTTTTTCAACATAGCTATATATTAACCATGATTTGCTAGTTTAACTTTGTGTGCTTTTTAAGCCTATTTTATTTCATACTAAACAGTTAAAATAAATGGCTGTTTTATATGACAATGCTGAGGGTTCTGGGAGGAATTAGGATGTTACTTCTGTCTCTAGGATTTCCATTGAACTTGAAGGGTAAAAGTAAAGAAACAGGACAGACATGAATGTAGGTGAATGGAGAAGAGCATTTTGTAGGAATAAGAATGGGGATCCTGAAGGGCACATCATAACCTCAATTCCAGTTTGATTTAGACTGATAACTAAAATGGCTGCGAAGGGGACAGTTCCATCTACACAAAACTTGTTACTTGGCTTCTTATTTTCTCACAGATTATCACCATAAACAAGTCAGAGCAAGGAAACTAGAGACTGATGGTTCAGCTGCCTCAGCATACATTACTCACTGTACCCAAGATGCACAACAGAAGTAAAAACCCAAGTTTTTCATGAAACCACAGTGTCCTCAAATTTACCAGCTCAGAAAATACCTGTCTGTCCAGTTTAATTCAAACTTTAAACATTTTTTCTTCTTTATATAGGCCTATTGTATATTAAAAATTTTAATACTTTTTTCTTTTTTTAAGGGAAGAGAGGCTTACTATATAGCCCAAGCTGGTCTTGAACTATAGTCATCTTGAAGGAAAATTTTTCCTGTAAATTTTCAGGCAAACTTTGCAGATCAAATAAATTTATGGTGTGAATGAGCTTTTTATATCATTTAGATGAGTAGTTTGAAAATAAAAAGCTCATCAGGTGGAAGTGCTTGTTCGAAAGCCTGATGCCTTGAGTCTCAGATGCCACAAAGTGGCAGGAAAGACTCTAAAAGGATACCCTCTGACCTCCACAGGCACACCACCTCATGCATGTGCCTGCAGAGACAATGATAGATAAAGGTAAAAGTTGGTTTGAAAAGTGAAGTTTTCATTTCTGCCATAGCCTAGGGTTGAGCTAGGCTGAAGTAGAAAGAGAATGAAGTACCTATAAGGAAGAGGCAGGTGACAAAAGAGAGCAAAGAAGTAGCAGACTGTACTGACGACCCACAGCTGATCAGTTTTCCAAGTGGAACCTAATCAAGGAACACTGATTTCACAGCAAAGGCTTTTAGTCCGAAATGTCATTGAGAACAATCTGACTCTTACCTTACAGGAAACAACTGAGGAAAACAGCCTTGTGTTTGCGTGTTAACAAATTTCTGGATCTGAAGCACTTGTTTGAAAAGATAGCCCTTGGAAGATTTGTCAATTTTTGTTAATATCATCTACAGAAAAATAATTTAAGTATTAGAAATAAAAATATAGTTTTATACATTTTAACTACAATCTTTCAGTTAAGCTAAGTTGCGTAAATTTCTTAATCTCTACTACTTTCTCATCTATAAAATAAAAACAAGCCATAAATAATGTGCTGTGATGATGACATGTGCTAATATATATCCCATATAAAGTGTATACTGTGTGTCTGCTACTTAACAATCTTTTGCCACACACAAACAGGTCTTGAACTTTTTTTAAAGATCAGTGAGAATCACTGAGCCACATTTATAAAAGACATCAGCTATTCCAGGTGATTACAACGTATCTACAATATTTAAACGAATATAACCTAGCTGAGCCACATAACACTGCCAATAATGTAACAGTTTCTAATCAAAAGTTCAATTTTACATATAATGCTCTAAAGGAAAAATTAGAAGTTGGGTTTATTTGTTGGCTATAACTACTATAGTTGTAATCTTGGTAAATGTACAATGTTACTTATCCAACTACAAAATAGTAGAGGAAGGTCAAAGCATGTGTAATTACAAATCAAGGAAAAAGTGAAATTTCAATCTCTCAGATTTTCCTGGGAAGTATCAAACGTGTGCATGTGCCCCAGCAAATATTCTATCATTCAACCATAACTCCACTAGGATAAAATTTAAAGTCAACTTTTTGATTGTTGTTTCTCCCTCCTTCTTGGGTACTTGGGTTACGGCTGATATCTCATTTCCTTTTCCAAAGACGAAAATAATATTTCCTTCAGTTAAACTGAATGAAATCCATGTTTGATAATATTCAGTCATTTTTACCCCAATTCCTTGATGCATTATAACAGTGTCCCTAACACTTCATAGGACTTCGGCAATCCCAAGAATTTCATAGCTTCAACAAAACTGGCTGACAAGTCACATGGCTATGTTCATATGACACTTCACTGCTTTAGTGTAGTGGTTTCTGACAGGTTTTTGAAAAGTAAAAATAATTGAGTTCCTCACTTTTCTTAAAAAGTCAGTTAATCTGGAAGTATTACAAAGCAAAATTAATGTGATCTGCATTTTAGTGAAGGTCAATTTTATGCTAGTAGGAAAAAACCTAATGAGATATTCCTAAAATAAATTTTTAAAGATACTTTTTATTTCATATGCACTGGTATTTTGCCTTCATGTATTTCTGTGTGAGGGTGTCAAAACCCCTGGAACTGGGGTGATAAACAGTTATAAGCTACTTTGTAGTTGCTGGGAATTGAACCTGGGTTTGCTGGAAGTGCTCCTGATTGCTGAGCCATCACATTTCTCCAGCCCAGAAAAGAATGTATTTTTAAGAATATAAAAATTCTACTTGTGTGTGAAGACTTTGGTTTGTGAAATTTATGTTGCTGTATTCAAATCTTCATTAAGTACTATGCCAGGAGCTGGTGTTCAAGAGCTGGGAACATATTTTCGACAAATTTTTGTATTGTCATAAGAAAACATCATGGAAGTAAAAGCATTTAAGAACACTAAATGAGCAGCTTAAAAAACTGACTGTATGTTTAAGAGCTTGGGTTGGAGGATGCCTGCAGCATGTCAAGAGCACATGCTGCTCTTTCGAGGACCTGAGTTCAGTTTCCAGCACCCCTAGTGAGTGGCTCACAACCTGCTGTAACTCCAGCTTCAGAAAAATCTTTTACCCTCTTCTGGCCTTCACAGGTATCCCCATATATGTGGCACATTCTTATGTATATGTATATACATGCACACTCCATAAATTTAAGCTTAAAACTAAAAGATGAGAAAAAAGTATGAAAGTGTCATAGAACTTAAAGGCACTTTGTTCGATTTTTTTTTTCTGTGTGTATATGTAATGTATACTTGTGTGTATAAGTGTGTGCATGTATGTGTGTATGTGCACACATATCTGCCTGTGGAGGCCGGAGGAGGACATGTCTATTCTATCATGCTCGCCTTTTTCCTTTGAGCCAGGGCCTCTCACTGAACTGGGAGCTAGGTTGGCAGCTAGCCAGCTGTGTGTCCTCTACCTCTACCTCTTAGAGCACCGGGGTTATGAGCATGCAGTGGCCACACAGCTTTTTATGTGGGTGCTGAGGACTAGAACTTAGGTCCTCATGCTTTTGTAGCAAGCATTCTTAACCATGGGCCATCTCCCAGCCACTGCTTTATCTTCTGAGAAATACCTGCTCATTACTAATATATATTTGCATATTCATAGGAATCCTAAACTGTGATTTCTAACTGCCACCATGAGTCTAAAGAAGACTTACCACATAAGGCAATGCAAATTCTTCACACATTTCTATGGCAATTTTGTCTACCTCTGTAATTCCAACAACACTATCCACTAGTAAAAATGTTCTCTTCAAACTGTAAAAACAGAAAGAAAATTAATAGCAGTATAAGATATACTCAGTCACCTGTCTCTCTCATCCTAGGAACTTCATCCTGTAGTCCAATAGAACTCAATGTAGTTTATAGTACTTCCAATAACCAAATTTGCCAAATACCAATTTGTTTCAATAAGAACATATTAAGCTGATCAAAGTTTGACACAAAGATAAATGAGACCCTCCTGTAAGACCTTAAAGTCTAGTGGAAAAAGGAGATAAAAATAAAATTATAATTTTTAATATTAACTTAATTTTGCATCATTTATATGTAAAACTATACCAAAATGTCTCTCTATACATATACACATATATCCATATATATATCTATATATAGATATATATATATATTTTTTAAATTTGTGATGCTAGGATTAAATCCAGAGCCTTTTAGCAAGTCAGGCAAGTACTCTATTACTGAACTACATCCCTAGTTCTTTTTTTATGAATACCTTTTTGCTTCAGAAGCCTAACATTATTTTCCTCAAGATTGTGATTCTTGAAACATTATTGCTTGATTTCTTTTGGAGACCAAAGAAGAAAGATAACATTTTCAGAGTCTGTGACGACTGAGAGGACAGAGTTTACCGAATTTTATTTAAATCAATTAGCTAATAATTTTCATTTTCAAAATTAGCCATTCATTTTTAAAAAAATGAATGAACTAACCGTCGAATACTCTATAGTTTCAGCTTGATAAAATAAATGAAGATTTTTCTAGGCTAGGAAGAAGCTAGACAGGCAGCGAATAGCCTGGTCCTCAATATTGTAGAGTTCTATGAGGATAAAATGTACCAAAAGTCACTCGTCTGATCATCTGTAACACCTGTTATGTGTAGAGCACCCTGATTTAAAAGTGCTTTGGGGCTAAATGTATAACTATTGTAAGAAAAAAAATCCTTACTTCTTTCGTTCCTTTAGATAGGCCTCTACCATGTCAACAAAGTCTTCGGGTGCTCTATAGCCATACCCTGGCATGTCCACCAACGTAAAATATTTTCCAACTTTGAAAAAATTCATTTTCTTTGTGTGTCCCTGATAAAGTAAATGAAAAAAATAAGGGTGTGTGTGGCTTAAAATATGTCCTTTATTTCATGACTAGAAATGCTTTCTATTCAATCAACAAATACTTATTAAAAATATATATTCTGAGCTACCATGGCAACAAAGGAAAAAAAGTGGAGAGAAGTGGCCACCAATAATTAAATTGTTTCAATTTGTTTTTTTTTTTCTTTTTTAAATAAAGTATGTTTACCTTAAAAACATTACATTTCATTTTGAAAATACATAGACAAAATATTTTAGGGTCTTTCCTATTTTGCTGTCTATGAAAACCACCCAGATTTGGGCTGTATGTTTGCCATTAGCCAATTGTCTGATATGGAGGAATGAATTACAGTGTTGATCAAATGTTTATCACAGATCCAAAGTTTTACATTTCTTTTCTGCAGACTAGTGTTTCCATAAACCAAAATGTTTTGCATGTGTGTTTTAGTATCCTCATGGATAATTTTTTAAAGAATGCACAACACCACAGTTACTAAGTAACAATAAAACTAAAATTTCTAAAAAAGTGTTCAGCAAAGATAAAATATGGCTGCTTATGCTTTTGTGTTCATGAATCTCTTAGGACTCAGTAAAGAAGGACAGTTATTAAAGTCAATTGTTTGATCTAAGATACTATCAAAGGACTTTTTATACATGATGATGAAGTTCTTGATTAGCTTATTTGTCCATTTGTTAGAAAGTGTTGTTAGAACTGCATATTTGAGAATGAAAAGAATAAACCTTCCTTAACTATTGTCCTCTTATACAAGATAATGCAATTCATCCTGTCTAGAAGTCATCCTTTAGCGGGCTAATGTGGTGAGGAAAAAGAGCAGTGAAGACGAAGTGGGGAGCAAAAAGTTAGTGGTTTCATGAATGCTTAAACTTAAGGAACGGGGTGGGACAGCGAGCATTACAGCTGGTGGAAGTGTTCTGTCATCCAGACTAACGAAGGTAAGGGGATCTAGGGGTGAGTTTTGAGCAAAGGTTATTTTAGGCATCAACTGAATTTGCATCATTGAAAAGGATGTGGAAGGAAGGAGAAAATAACAGAATCAGTGCAGGAGAGCACCTCTGAAGAAAAGCAAAGCGTGTCCTTGGGTAAGACTATACATGTCTGGAACAAATGCAAGAACATATGGGAGTGTGAGAAGGTATAAAAGATTACACAAGACAAAGCAACTTAAGCCCATTTTCCTCCCCTATAACTAGTGTAGAATTAGTCATTCACGTAAAGAAACAGAAAACAGCAATAAAATACTTAATTTGGCAACTAGGAAGATTTAGAAGGGTGCTTTCCTCAAGATATTGGCAATACTCCTGAAATTAATTCAACCATACTTCCTTTTTTTTTTTTTTTTTTTTTTTTTTTTTTTAAGGGAAAACAGACACTAATGATATGTCTTACCTTATTACATGTTTAAAGGAAATCTCTTGTCTAGGAACTTAGAAATCATGATCTCTTGCATTTTTCAAATTTAGTAAATTCAAGAGATGCCCAGCATACCGGTTTCTTTGAGATCCTGACTTCTACATCAGGGGCCTGGGAAAATAAGGCCTTTATCAAGGAGGATTTTCCAACATTGCTTCGGCCAATGAAACACACCTGGTACGAGGGGGGAAAGGAGAATGGGGTACTTAGAGAACTGACTAGCGGTTTATTTATTATACGCTGTATTTTCGGATTTGGAGAGATGGGTCAGTCGTTCAGTGCACTTGGTGCCAGAGGACTCTAGTTCAAGTCCCAGACCCCACGGCTGCTCGCAGCGGCCTGAAACTTCCAGTTTCAGGGGGATCTGATGCCCTCTTCCGGTCTCTGAACGCAACGAGCAAGATTGTGGTGCACAGGCATACATGCAGGCAAAACACACGGAAACTAAAATAAAAATTAAAAAAACAAAAAACAAAAAAAACCACCACTGTCTGCTCTTCCGGAGGACCAGGGTTCGATTCCCAGCACCCACCGTGGGCACTGCCCGCCAGTGGCGCATCCACACCGGGTGTTTTGTCTTAAAAAGCTCTCTCGTTGGGCGATAGGAAACGCGCCCCGGCGAAACCGAGCTCTGGCACCCACAGGAGACAGGCGGCTCTCACCTCCGACTGCTGCAGGCTCGGGGCGTGGTCTAGGCGGACCGCGGAGCTGAGGTACTCGATGCGGTTCCGGGCCGTGGCCGCGAACACGCTCTCGGCCCTCGCGAGGTCGTCCAGGCTCGGGTCGAAGAGTCTCTGTTCGATAAGGCCTGGAGCGGCGTCCGCGACGAGGTGCCGCTCCAGCTCCCGCAGAGGGTACACTACCTTCGTTAGCCGTTTCTGTGGCAGCTTCAGCACTTCAGCGAGGGCAAGGGGCGTGCTGTAGGCCCGGGGCCAACGCCCCAGCGCGGGCACCATCTCAGGGAGCCTTCCCAGTCTGTGCCACAGCCCGGCGGCCGCCATGTTTCTTTCCCAGAAGCCTCTGGATTGGATTTTTAGTCATTGGATTTGGACAGCGCAAGTGAGAATCTCACTGCCGCGACGCCTGCTGGGAATTGTAGTTTTCTAGGGCCTCGCCTGCTCAAACTTTTCGCCGCCAAAGACTTCGAGGATGTCGGGAACCAGAGGGTGAAAAGCCCGCTGACTTTCTTTAACACCTTAGCTTTACCAACTATGCATCAGATTGGTGTGTTTTGTGAGAAAGCTTTCAGCGGTTTCCAGAGGCCAAAAACTACCTCGTTCTGTGGTATTTGATTCTCAAGGGAAGGAGCCATAATGAGTAGCTCTAGTGGATACCAAGCCCGTTTTCTCTTCTGTTTCCCGACGTCTTAACGATGATTGACGTTTATCATAAGTTCACATCACTGAGAAAAACACGTTTGCAAAATTAAGTGAGCTGGTGAAAAATGTGGTTGTAATATCAACTCATTTTCCGAGAAGACTCTCTGGCAGCCATGGCATTTGAGCTGCAGTTGAGAACTCAAAATACGATCCATAAACCAGAACTGTAATGGGAAGGACAGGCGGCATTTGAAGCCTCAAAATGAACCCATCTCCTCCAACAAGGCCACACCTTCTATTCCATTCCAAACCATTCACAAACCGGGGACCTAGTATTCAAACACATGAGCTGGTGGAGGCCATTCTCATTCAATTCACCACAAGCATTTAATCGTTATTCCCCACTGTGCCACTACATCATTTCACACAAAACTTTAGAGCGATGACTTAGAGCCAACATATGCTATGTTTTCCATGGACACATGAAACGCTTCCCTAATTTCCAGTATAGGCAAAAGTTCAAAGAGGAGACATGCATAGCAGTTAGACTTACTGCCACTGAGGGTAGAAAACCAGAATGGGGAAGGGAATTTAAGAGTCCCGTTAGAGTTGCCCTGGGACTCAAAGACTACTGAAAATTGTGAAAGTTCAGAAAAATCAAGCCAAAATCAGTATTGGAGAAGATCACATCTGGTAAATGAATCTTGCAATAGGGTTCCATAAGTACTCCGAATGTGGTTGTTGGCATCATCTTGGTTCCTGGAGATATTAGGAATCCTCATCTACCTTCCTACATCAGGGGTTTTTCTGGGCTAAGATTGAGAAGAAAATTTAGCCCTAGTGAAGAAATGTAATGTAGTTTAGAAAAACATGGTGTGTGTACAGCATAACAGTGTTCAAAATGGAATTCCTAATATTTTCTCCTTTTCCTTTGTTCTTCTCGTTTTGCATTCATTCCTTTCTCAGTAAGTGACAGCTGTATTTCTTCAATTGATCCAGCCAAACTTTTTCTGACTTTTTTTGAGGGAAAGTCTTGATTTCTTTGCTTATATATCACACTTAATCTATTAGCAATGTCGCTGATTTAAATCTTTAACACATCTGGAATTTGAGACGTTAGCATATCTAGTGATATCGTGTTCCCAGTCCCCATTGCCTCTCACCTAGACGACTTCTATGGCTTCCAAAAGCTGGTTGTGTCATTGCTTGTTATACCTTTAGGAATATTCCCAACGCAATAGCAAATACGAACCTGTTAAAATGTAAGTGGGAATCTCCAGCATCTTCTAGTCTCAAAGAAAAGTCAAAGTTCTTCCACTAATTAAAAAAAAATGGGTGTACCCCTGCCTCTCTGCATATGCCCCCCTGGAATGCTTTCTCCCAGATGTTATTACCTGGCTGTTTCTTTACTATTTGGAGTGTTTGTGGTCATCATTCAGAAAAACATTGGCTTTGATTTTGAGATCTGGAGAGGTTGTTCATCACAGAGTTAGCACTCTGAAAAACTGTTAATACGATATAGATAGGTATTGCATATTGGACACATAGCCCTTAGAGTCGGTTGTTTGGTTTGCTTTGCTTTTGAGGCAGAGTCTATTACATAGGTGGGACCAGCCTGGAATTTATGATCATTCTGTACCACCACACCCAGATTTAGAGCTAAGATATTTCACTAAGATTCGTGTGAGTGAAATGCTGTAGCTGTATTCTGCCAGGTTTAGTTGCTAAGGACAGGAAGAAGGTTGGTAGATCAGTGAAGAGATTTTTTTGCCATTCTTACAGATTATCTTAGTTGTTTTTCCCTTGTCTTTCTCTGAAATGGCTGTTCAGTTCTGACTGATCCTGAGCTATGTAAATCTAGCAGGTATTAAGTTTAGGGATTTCATCTAATCTAAGGAAAAGGTAAGCATTGTAGGCCTACGCAGGTAGAAAGAATCATGAATGTCAGAGAGTCAGCAAGTACAGAACTCACACAGATCAACTCTTAACCTAGTTTAGACACACCACACTTTAAATGCCTGAATGGAAAGGAGTAAAGACATTGGGAAAACTTGCTTTTGGATATAGGGAGAGGTGATGGATTAGTACTCGATGTTTGTTTTACCAAAGAGTCTTTGTTACCTTTAATTTCCCCTTCTTAACAACAGTAATTACAATTTACTTGTTAAAATACCATGTGTGGTGGTGGTGGTGGTGTCTGTAATAGAAGCATTTAGGAGGTAGAGGGAGGAAGACCAGAAGTTAAGGGCCATTTTCAGCTACGTATCAAATTTGAGGCCAGCCTGGATTATGTACAGCCTGTCTCAAAAATGTTATTGAACACTTTCCAAAAAAGTAGTTGATTGAGTATGAGGGGTTAATTATGGGAAAGGCCTGGTCATATTAAAACTGAGATGGTTTGCATTGGGAAGGAAATATTAGGAGAAAGAAGGGGATTTATGTAAGAAATGACATAAGGAAACTTCCATACATAAATTACCTGAATTGTAATAACATCTGTTGGGATGAACTATTTAAATTTAAATTTTATTTTTAAAATATTTATTTTTATTTGTGTGTGTGTGTGCGTGCCATATGTGTGTGGATATCAGCAGAGGTCAGAAAAGAGTGTGGGGTCCCCTGGAACTGGAGTTATAAGAAGTTGTGAATGTCTCAATGTGGGTGCTGGAAGCCAAATCCAGGTCCTTTGGATGAGTAGCAAGTACTTTTAATCCCTTGGTGATCTTTCCAGGGAACCTTTAAGGTTTCTTTAGTTATATTTTAACTTTTCTGTGCAACTTAAAAAAACAGTTATATAAGCTATAACTCAGCACAGGAACACACATTTGCTACTCTCACATATATAAAACATGATCATGACTCTTCTACCTAACTTATTCTTTGGGTACAGTCATTACATGTGGGAGTCACTATATTACCCTCTTGAAGAAATAACAGACGTACTTCAAATGACCAGCTTGGGTAGTTTATCAGATCATTGAATTCCATTTACATTTTATTAACGTTCCTTTAGAGAATATCTCCAACAACTTCAAATAATTGTGTTGTTGTTGTTTTTCTTTTTCTCTCTGTGAAGCCTTTCTGAGCTCTCTTTAAGGTTGTATCTGCCATGCTGACAAATTTCTCTAAAGAGATCTGGAGATAAAATATCAAATACTATGTGTGTAGGAGGTGGGTTCTTAGAATGATTTGGGTTCTGGAAGAAAACTAAAAATTTGTTTCCATCAAGATTTTTTTCAACCAATAGAAAACAAGTTGCTTTAACTAATATTTTTCCATTGTAAATTGTGTGTTTCATTCTAATCATAGTGATGTTACTATTTTGTAACTCTGTGCAACATATAGTTTGTGCTTTTGTATCAGTAAAAAGTGTGTGTGTGTGTGTGTGTGTGTGTGTGTGTGTGTGTGTGTGTGCGCGCGCGGGCGTGTTCATGCTGTAGAGATTGAAAAAAAGCATGAGGTTTTTTTTTTGTTTCAAGTGATGAATTTAGTAACATTTTAACTTTTATTACCGATTTGCCAACTTTTTTGTGGGCAATGCTTAGTAGTAGACCTCTTAGAGGCTTGAATGAGAAAGGCCCCAACAGGCTCAGATGTTTGAATATTTGGTCCCCAGTAGGTGGAACTGTTTGGGAAAGATTAGGAGGTATGGCATTGCTGGAAGAGCCATTGGTGTTTGAGGGTTCAAAAGTCCATGCCATTTTCAATTAGCTCTCTCTGCCTCATGCTTGAGGGGCAAGATGTAAGCTCTCGGCTACAGTGTCATATCTGTCTGCTGGCTGCCATGCTCTCTGCCGTGATGGTTACAGACTCCAACCTCTGAAAGTGTAAGTCCTCAATAATTTCTTTCTTCTAGAAGTTGCTTTGGCTATGGTCTCTTAGCTCAGTAGCAGAAAAGTAACTAAGACCATCTCTAAACTATATCTCATTGCTTTACTCTTATGAGCAGCATACTCTTTGACACCGTGAAGAGATGAACTAACGTCCCACAGGCAGCTGTATTCATACATGTTATAGTTTTAAACTCATTTACAGATAATTTTTTTTTCTTCAGGTATCTCCAAGTCTAGCTTCCAAATTTGCTGATATACTAGGGAGATTCACAAAACTCGGCATATAGTTAACCTCTGTGGCTAGGATTTGTCACCGCAAAAGGATACAAATGGAAGGAAAAGATTCAAGGTGAAGCCTTGAGAAAATAGGCCCAAGCATCTCGACATTCGCTCCCACAGCCCAGGCTGCAACCACAACTGCCAGCAAAGAGGTGTACTGTGTGAATGCTGCTCACACAGAGAGTTCGCTGGAGTGCAGGAGTCTTGGGTTTATCTCCAGGGCTGGCCATGTGACCACCTTGTTGTTGTGTGACTGACTATACTTTCTGAAACAGAAGATCCTCGGAAGGTAATCAGGCATTCAGTAGTGTTATAGCTTTTGTTTTGTTTTTGAGACAGGATATCACTATGTAGTCCTGCTGTCCTGGAACTCACTATGTAGACTATGCTAGCCTCAAACTCACAGAGATCTGCATGTCTCTGCTTCCCAAATGCTAGGATTTAAGGCATGCACCACCATGGCCGCCTTAGTGTTGCTATAGTTTTTATCATAATGGGCCCCAAAGGGCCAGGTGTTAAAGGCTTGGCCAGTCTCTAAAGAGGCACTCTCAGGAGGCTGTGAAAACTTTA